AGATCAGGGCTCTTTGCTTTTCATTTTGATTGTCTATTTTCTAAGTTTCCTTTCAAATAAAAAAAATCCTTTGGAGGAACATGGTGTGCTTAGATTAGGGGGTGGCTGTTGGAATAGGGGCCCCTCTCCAAGGGGACCACACTGTGTGGGGAGAGACAGGTCCTTTAGAAGTCTCTGTGAGCGTATCTCTGGTGGCCGTCATGAAAGGGTTATCCCTACACATTCGATATTTGCAAAAATGTGGGTTCTTTCAGATTCCAAAACTCATTTCCATGACAAAACTCTTGGGAAGAGAAGATGAAGGCCTGGCTTTTGCAGAACAATCTTCCAGCTGTAATGAGGACAGAAGATGGCAATGGGAAAGGGAATTATAATTAGAATATGAAATGGGGAAAATTAATCTATTCCAGTCAGTGGTAAGAGGATGTTCTCCTGACGTTTCATGGCAATTCTTAGGCTGTTGTTTCTCCCTGCACATTTTTTCTTCATATTTTAAAGCATGCTGAAGGTTGTGTGGCATGAAAAAAAGATTTTTAGCTGAGGGACTGATACATTGTGAAATGCACACAGAATTCCATCCCCTGTGCCCCTTCGCTGTGTTCGTCTCTCCATGCATATGCGGTATGTGTGTGTTCCTACATATGTGTTGCAATTGACAGTCACAGACGTATGGTGTGTTTGCATGTATCTGGCTTACCCTCCTTTCCTGCGTGTGTGTCTGCTGGGGTTTTGTGTACCAGTCACACATGATGAGTGGGATGTGGAGATCTGTGCACATTATTTGTGTTGCTTTGTGTCATCCATGGACATAGGACATTTATGGCTGAGTATACTCTTGAACACTGAACTGGGTGTGACATGGGCCCACAGGAACATAGGTTTGTGGTACGTGTTGCTTAGGCACGTTGCATGTGCCATATACCTTCATGTTCACGTCAGCATACACTGGGCAGTCGGAATGGATATGAGCATTTTCCATCTTGTCCATGCGCACAGGGAGGAGGGAGGTGGCCTGCTGTGTCAGAGGGAAGAGGCAACTTTATGACCATCTCTTTGGCCTGCAGGTTCTTTCCCCAGGAAGAGTCCTACACTGGGAGGGTGAAGGGAGGAAGCCCAGGCCTTCTTGCCCCAGATGTCAAGTACAAGGGAACCTCAGATCCTCAGGTTCCCTTCCCCTCTCCCTACTCTCACAAGGGCTCTACCACAGAGAGTCCTGGAAGAGGTGGGCAGATACCAGGTCTCACTCTATCTCAGGGCTCCTGTCCACAGCTGCTTTGCCCAGGGCACTGTGCCAGGCACTCGGGGATCCAAAATGAGGTAGACAAAGACTCTGCTGGGAGTCTCTCTGCCAACCAAGCTCTCCCTGAAAGCCAGAATAAGGCTCACTCTGGTATGTGGCAGCTCTTTTTTAGATGTTGGTTGAATGAGTGAATGGTTAAGTCTACCTGAGACATGCTGTGCTGACCTCATGAGACTCCACCGTCCCAGCCCTTGCCCGTTCCCAGTGGCTCTGTTTTCCAAATCCGGACCTTTCCAGACAATTCCTGGCTCTCTTGAGCCTCTAACACACCGTCAAGACTCCACTAGGTTACGTGGAAGGTTCTAGAAAAATCTTGATCTCTATCACTTGATCTGGTCTCTCCCCAACTGTGTGATCTTTGACAGCTACTTACCCTTGCTCTACCTGTTTCCTTGGTTTCAACAGGAAAGGAACACTTTCTTCATTAGGTCATTTTAAGAATTAAATGAGATCTTTTATGTAAAGTGTGTCACTCAGTGCCAGCTGTATTCATTCATTCATTCACTAAATATTTATCAGTCACCTACTGTGCTCACCGGGGAATGAGGCAAACAGTGGACCCTGTTTTGTGGTGGCTCTGTGCTAACCTGCATTTAATGTATGGTAGCTATTACGCAGGTTTTGGAGGATGTATTTCCTTCTGTTCGTTTTGTTACATCGTGTCGTATTTTAAGTCTACACTATAGTGTTTGCCTACTGTTGATTTATAAAATGTTTCAAATATCTGGTTAAACTTCGTCCTCCTCCATTTCCAATTAAGCGTTTCTATTAGACAAGATCAGGCATGTTCAGGGTGGTATGGCTGTAGACGGCGTTTCTATTAGAATATACTCATAAATTATGTACAGTTTTTTCAGAAGCTTCACTTTTATCAAAATAATGAACAGCTATGTTGACAAGTCAAATGGTACTCGAGTGCTTTTGGTATAAGCTCCTCTGCTCTTCCCAAATCATAGTTCTCTTCCTGGCGCCAGCCTGATACCCTTTCACTGCCCTTCAGAGATGATCAGCACACAACTCCAGCCCCCATGTGGCTTCTCCTCTGGGTAGATGACAAGGTGGGACAATCTGTGTTGTAAGAGGGACAGCGAGAGGAGGTGAGAGCATGGCAGGTCTCCGGGAAGGAGTGGCTCCTCAGGAAGGCCTCGAGGCGTGTGCCCTGGGAGCCCTGCCACCAGACGTGGCGCAGCCCTCTCTTCTGGTAGTCCAGCCATCACCAAAGAACACTGCCTGTGTGTGTGCTGGGGAGGTATGTAACCCTATCTCCACTGCCTAGATGGGAAGACTGGCCTGGCAAGAGATACTGTCCGCTTCATTCATTCATTCAACAAGTGTTTATTGAGCATCTACTCCATGCAGGCACTGTTCTACGAACTTGGAAGGCATCAGTGCATGGATGGACTAACATCCTTGGCTCCCAAGACCCTCCAGTTTGTTTGTTTGTTTGTTTGTTTATTTATTTATGTCTTTTTGAGACAGGATTTCACTATGTAGTTCAGACTGGCCTTGAACTCACTTTGTAGCCCAGGCTGGCCTCAAACTGCAGCAATCCTCCTGCATCAGCCTCTCGAGTACTGAGATTACAGACGTGCGCTACCACACCTGGCTTACCCTTCAGTTTAGTAGGGGGTTCCAACTTTAAGCAGTGAACATGATAAATAAGTTAGAGAATGTTAGAGAATGCTAGAAGGTAAGGGTAACAAAGAACAAAGTAAGGCAGGGCAGGTGGACTCTCAGAGCCCCCCTGGGGGAAGCTGGCATCTGAGAGCCAGTTGAACAAAGCTTCTGGTGGACTGAGGCCTGCTTGCAGGGTGGTGGTGTGGGGTTTTCCAGTCTCCATGAGGGCTGCCTGACAATGTTCACCAGAATTACAAATGCACATACCACTGGCTCCCACAGTTATACAGATCAGTCCTACAGTTCAGCTCATACCCTTGCACAAGGATGAATGTATGAAAATACTCATGACAACAGTGTTGCACTAGCAAAAGACTAGAAACAGAGCAACTGCCCATGTGGTCAGCCAGCTAAATGTGTTATATAACACCCTCACTGTGAAATACGTGGCACCAGCAGAAAGAATTATGTTCTGCACAGCATTTCTCAAGACGTGTTACTACAAGAAAAATAAGGTGCAAAACAGTGTGCATGGGGTGCTACCATTTGGGTGGAGGAAGTAACTGGAAAGTGTGTCAGTATAGGCTGCCTTTGAGAGGATGCAGGGAGCTGTAAGCATGGCTGCCTCTGGGGAAGGACAGTGGCTGGCTGGCTGGGAGGTGGGATAGGAAGGATGCTTTTCACTGTGTTGCATTTGTGCCTTTGGAATTTTTGACCATGTGACTATCTCCTAATAAACTGTTTAATTAAAACAAAATGCCAAGTTGCCCCCACCTGTTATGGCACTAGCTGCAAATGGCCCACCGAAGGTATAATCCTCTGAATAATTGTCCCTGGTGAAGTGGAGGCCCCCTTGCACAGAAAGCTTCACCTCCCCTTGTCTCCTAAGGGCAGCCTATACCCAGTGACTGATTTACATGGACTGCAGAAGGCCACCCCTGGGCAGATGATATAGCTCAGTGGCACAGTGCCTGCCTGGCAAGGACAAGGTCCTGAGTTCGATTTCTGGTACCAAAACAAAACAAAACAAAAAAGAAGGCCTTTCCTCCATGGTGGGACTAACTGCAGTACAATTCATGCTGCAGAGCAACCTGGGATCAGGCTGAAGTGAACCTCCAGCTGAGACCACCTCCTTGCTTAGCTTCAGCTACTGCCAGGTCCTGCTTCCCTCTCAACCTTATAAGTTATGCCTAAGGAGCATGTCCTACAAAATCAAATGCATGAAACCCTTGTCTCAGGCTCTGCTTCTGGGATCTGTGTGTCAGACACCTAGCTCAAGGGAGGGAACCACCAGGAACTGAATGCAGTGCAGACCGTAGTGAGTAAAATGCTCTAAATTGCAACATCCTATGAAGAAGGGACTATTCTTGTTATCTCTGTTGACCCATGAGGAACCTCAGAAGTTCAGACACCAACTCAGCATCACACATCAGAGTGAAGAGTTAGCCAGGGCCTGAGAGCAGCATTCCTCACACTGTAACTGCTCCCTGCTGTGGGGAGCTCTTCCTGAATCCAGGCTTGGAAGTGTCTTGAACATAGAACTGTAGTTTCTCTGCAAGGTTTCTACCATAGTCCTCACCGCCTGTGGCTCCAAGTGGCTTAGGAACTACAATGGAATAGGGGAGAAGGCAAAAAATTGAGGGCCTCTCTAGGGCAGGCTGTCGTGGCTCCATCACTCTAGAGAAAGCTGGTCCACAGAGGATCCCAGCTTTAGCTGACTTCCTGGTATCACTTTGGCTAAGAGAGGTCTCTGCATACTTCCAGAGGTGGGGAGCTCAGTGCCCGACAAGGCAGCCTGCTGTGTCTACGGACAAGATGTGGAGGCCCAGAGCATTTCCTGTCTCCACCCTATGTGTGATTAATGGTGCTAACCTGAGCCCTTAGGGACCACAGGACAGGGGCTGGGCCTTCTACCCTGGAGGGAGCCCTGCTGAAACAGGGCCTCAGCATCCTGGACTCCAGGTTTTACTTCTGCAAACCCCCAGGCCCATCCCTGCAGCGCAGCCTCCTGACCTCTGGCCGCTTCTCCTGGTGCTTCCCTGAGAACATTTTAATCAGAGTTGCTTCTCTCTCTCTGTTCTAGTTTGATGGTGACAGTGCCTACGTGGGGATGAGTGATGGAAACCCAGAGCTCCTGTCAACTGGCCAGGTGGGTGCTCCTCCTCCCTGAGCCGGGGTCTGAGCTTTGAGTTGGCTGCTGCTGAGCTGCTGGGTAGAGCAAGGAGGGGTGCTGAGTTGGGAGGCACAGCCCACAACTGTCCTCTTCCGGATGTTCAAGAATATCAGTTGAGTTCTTAAAAGGAACAGTCAAACTGGGACTACAGTGTTTCAGCTCTCAGTGGAAAATTTTATTCCAGCTGGCATCTGTGAGCTGAACACTAACCTTCCTTCCTCAGGCAGCATCCTCACCCAGGGTGCTGGGGAGGGTCCTCACCGTGGGCTGTGGCATCACAGACAGTGGTTTCCTGAGGCATTGGAGCCCATAAGCCTGCCCCAGCTCGGGGTGCTGGACAGGGGCTGAAGCGTTTTGTAGCTGCTAAGCTTTGGGAGCTGAAAGACAAGTCTGGTTCAAGCCAACCTCTGCTATCTGTTGCTGTAGCAGCCCAAGCTGGGTGTTCCCTCGGCCATCAGGTTGGGCCCATATTTTCCAGATGAGGAATCAGAAACCTGTTCATTCACAGACATTTATGTGTCTTACTCTGTGACAGGCCCAAAGGGGCCATAGACAAGGAAGATGTGGGCCTGTGACTGTTAGAGGGTAGCACCAGTGCGGAACATACTGCACTTCCAGTGTGACAGTGGCAAAGCCCTTCACCCCTTTCCCTGCCATGTCAAGGATGCTTGTGCTGCGGCCTCAGCACCATGCCCCTTCTCTGGCCTGTGCCCATGGGAGTTTTGAGCTGTTGCTGCAGCAAAGCTGCCTTTTCATTGCTTTGATATATGCCAGCCTGCAAGACTGCTGGACAAGACCTCAGGTCCTGGAAGCATCCACTGATGTCGTTTCATTGTCCATAATCAGCTTGGAAAGATGCTCATCTCAGAAAACCAGAGCTCACCTCTGAACATCATCTTCGTCTTGTCTAATGCAATAGCGTTTGTTACCGTGAATGAGCCCCACTTTCAGAACCTTACTGTGCTGAAATCGGTTCTGGCTCTGTTTTAGTCACTTGCTTCATCACTGGGACAAGATACCCGACACCCACAACTTAAAGGAGGAGAGGCTTATTTCGGTTCACGTCTCAGCCCCTAGTTGGCTTGCTCTAAGGCAGTATGGCCTGGTGGGGCGGGGGGCAAGGCCAAGGAGAGCTGCTTATGGCATGGCCAACAGGAAGCAGAAAGTGAAGAGGGGCAGATAAACCCATCTAGGCCACCCCCAGGGGCCTGCATCTTCCAACCAGACCCTGCCTCCTAACAGCAAGTCAGCTATTAGCCCATAATCCAATCACCTCCCCAAATCCCTATCTATGAGTGCATGAGGCTCTTGGGAGACATCTAGGTATTAACCATCACAGGCTCCCACCCTGGTGGAAAATGTTGGTACAGCCCTTCTACCAAGATGGGAAGGAGTGACTTAGGGTTGTGTCTGCTATAGACTTGGACAGGGAGGACACAGTGCCTGAGAAGAGATTTGGGGCAAATAAATGTCCTCTCTCTCCTCACCCCTGGCTTCATGGTTTGCAAAGCCTTTTTTGGTATTTATTTTAGCTGATCTTCACAGTGGCCTTGAAAATGAGTAGACATTACCATGAAGTCCATGTTATAGATGAGGCAAGTGAGGTTTGAGGATATTGAGTGAAATGGCCCGGGTGACCCAGCCATGCTCACCTTGCCTGTCCCATCCCAGGGCTGCCACCCACTTGCTGCAGCCTAAATGCCACTTCCTTGGGGGACTCTTTGTGACTTCCACATCCAAATTAGGTCCCTCCCTGTTACTCTCATGGCACCAGGTCATTTTAATTCATAGCGGTTGTCACAGTCTGTGGTCATCTACATATCTGTGTGGTCACTTGAGTGACACTAGACTGTGTCTCCATGGAGGGACGGTCCACTTTCTCTTACTCACTGCTGTGTGCTGCAGTAGGGGTACAGCGTCTAGCACATAGAAGGTACCGGGAAATATTTGTAGAAGTGGACGCTGCCCCTTCTTTTTCTGAACCCTACTTGCCCTATCAGTAGAACAAGGTGTTGGACTTCCAGAGAGTTCTTCCCGATCTCTTGTGCTGTCATCCAGGGGTCTTCTTAACTTAAAACTTTCTGAAAAAGTCATCAGGATTCTCTAAGATTAGCTAAACCTATGCAGGAGCGTGAGACTACCTTAACGTGAGCAAATCTTGCAGAAGGAATCCTGACTTCTTACAGTGTTTTGCTGTATGAAAAACATCTCAAAACATAGTGACTTAATACAACAAATGTCATTGCCTGGTGGTTTGGCTGGTCAGCTCAGCGGTTCTTCTAGACTCGCCTAGAATCACTTGAGTGGCAGCAGTAAGTTGCAGGACAGCCATGGACTGGTTGGCATAGGGGCTGTCTTTCTCCAACAGGGCAGCATGAGGCTGTTCACAAGGTGGGTGAGTGTTCCCAGGGCAGGAAGGGCAGAAGCCACAAGACCTCTTGAGGCCTAGACTTGGAACTGGTACATCTCTGCTTCTGGCTCTTTCTATTGGTCAAAGTAGACACTGGCCAATGTAGATTCAAAGAGTAGGGGGAAATAGATTCTCCCTCTTGATGGAAGAACGGCAAAGCATTGTGGGCTTTTCACAAACCACCACATGTGGGAAACACAGGGAATGTAGTTTGTGCTCATTTTGCTGAAGAATAACTCAGACTCACCCAGAGTTGCAGATCTTTGTAGCTCAACGGGCCTTTACTGGCCTCTAGCATTTGATGGCAGGAATATTCACACACAGGTGAATACTTTCACGGATGCTGCCTCATCCTCTGCAGGAATTGTATTGTCCCAGTTGCTGAAGGGTTAACATAAAGGTGTGGCCAAAATGAAGGGCTCATAGCCAACAGAGTATTCAGAAGCTAAGCATTCTAAGTGTCATAAAATATATTTTATAAATACAGTTAAATACCAGTTTCACCCAACTGGCAAATGTGTGTTGGGCATCTATAATGTCCAAGATCTGTATATGAGTAGGCAGCCATTTCTGGAATGCATTTGCTTCCAGAATGTCCAGTTTTACCAGGTTACAAACCTGCTCTTTAATGTAACACTTCTCTTGAAACACCACCTTTACTTGGAAACTGCAGCCTAGATTGAAGCTCCCATGGGTATATATCAGCCAATTGTGTCCCTTTTTAAAAATTTTCAAACTACCTCTTTTGAGTTTGAGATTGCTTTCGCAAATGTGTACCCCATTATTTGGTTTTTGCAAGTCTCCACAAAATTCCCGCACGACTCCCTTAGCTTTCACAAATTAATCACTCCCCCTTCTGCAGGACCTTGCATCGTTTTGTATGTGCCAGACTTACCTGGTTGGCCTGAGAATAAAATACAGTTCTCAAGCAGGGCTGCAGCCCATTGGCCACCTTGGGGCCTGACGGGCCTTACAAAGACCAGCTCTTCCTCTGCTGAGAGCGGGCCCTGCCCAGGAGGTGCAGGGACTGGTAGTCCCTGGTTCAGTGATGTAGGAAGCATGAGACTCTTTCTGGGAAGAGGTAAAGAGGAACAGGAGGAGGCTTGGGCTGCAGCAAACCTGGATTTGAATTCCAGCCCTTGTTGCCCTGGCCTGGGCCACCATGTGCCCATAGGCAGGTAATGTCTACTTCCTGCTGAGCAGGGGAGTAATGCTTGCCTCTTGGGGTGGTAGGAACGGGGAATGAGATGTAGGTTATGAGTTCTGTCGGTGCCTTCCTAGATCCTCTTTGACAGTGAGTGCACCCACGTCCATGTCTGTGTTGACTGCTGACCACTCAAAGGTGCCCCTTCTCTGGAGAGTTGGTCTCTGCCAGATGGGAATGATCAAAACAGGAAGGAGGTGTGGGTAGTGGTCTGAAAGCCAACCTCACTTTCTTAAATGGTGACCAACTCTGCAGCTCCCCAGGAGCTCCAGCTGAGAGCACATACTTGTTCTGCCCCTCCTGCTCGGACCTGCCCCACACTGTCCCCTCTCCTGAGAGTCCTGCACTGTCACCTTCACAGGAATCCCCCACTCAGGTTCTACTTCAAGGGAATCTAAACTAAGAGAGTATGCAAAGCACCAGTGTTCAGAAAAACTAGCCGTGACTTATTTTTATTGTTTTTACTGCTATAAATAATGCTTTGGTCATACAAGATGAGTCTCTGATCACCTCAGTGTCTTTATAGACCCTCTCTTCTGATGGGAATTCCCCTAGCCATTTTCACCCCCAAAATGCCTATTTATTCCTACAGGGGTAATGCAAATGTCAGCTCCTCCTTATATCTTCCTAGCTGTGAGTAGAGTTTTCTGTTCTCATGGCTCTAAATACAATTTCTGCAGAAGATCTCAGAGCTTTTCCTAAGGATTATTGAAAGAACTTCTGTATCTGTGTGCTTGAGTATACATGTGTGTATATATGAGAACTGGGAGGAGATTGATTGAGATTGAATGACATGGTCAGATTTACAGTTTTAAAAGCTTTCAGTAGCATATGTGTCCCAGGGAGACCAGGGAAAACAGGCCCTGGAGTATTGATTGGGAGGGTGCAGTAATGGGCCCAGTGAAGGATCTTATTGTCCTAGATTTTGGGGCAGATAGAGGCAGAGATGGAGAGAGATAGACAATCTGAAATGTTTTGGAAATAAAATTAGTAAATATTGACAGTGATGGATGTAGAGGAAGAGAGAAATGGAGGAGTCATGGATGACCCACAGGCTCCCATTTTCCAGAATGGTGGTACCATGCCTGAAGTTGAGGAAGGGCTAGGGCAGTACAGGCTCAATAAGGTCACATTTGGACATATGACATTTGAGATCCTTATTTAAATGAAGATGTCCAGATGGGTACATGGTTGTCCAAGTCTGAAGTTCATGGGAGCAGTAAATTGGAAGTCCACAGCTCATGGCACCAAACCCTAGGTGTAGACGGGACTTACAGAGACATACAGAAGAGTAAGAAGAGTGAAGGGTCAATGACTCTTCAATGCTGAGCTCTCACATCTGAAGGCAAAGTAGAGGAAAGG